CACACACACACACACACACACACACACACACACACACACACACACACACAAACCCAGGGTGGGGGGGGGAAGACATAACAACTACAATTCCTTGAAGTTGATATGACAAGCAAACAGAAAGGACATTGTTGGGTGGGAAGGGGGAGAGGGAGGAGGGAGGGAAGTTTCGGGTAATGGGCCACAATAAGCAACAACATTGTATATCGACAAAATAAAATTAAAAAAAAAAAAAAAAGAAAAAAAGAAAGGAATGATGTAGATCTGTATGTACTGACAAGGAATTTTTCACTATCATTGAGTGGAAACTTATTTTAAGAATATATGTAACATAACCCACTTTTTGGTAAAAATCCCTTTCATCCCCCCATAACCCTAAATTATCTAGACATTTAGTCCATCTCTGTGTATATGCATAAAAAAAAGTTTGTAAGCATATATATCAAACTGGTAATAGTGGTTTTCCTAGGGAGAGAACTTCCAACTTATAGGGTATTGAATTTCTGTTATTGTATTATTTATCCTGAACATCTATTCTCATAATTTAAGAAAATTACTTTTGGCGGGCCGGCCCTGTGGCTCACTCGGGAGAGTGCGGTGCTGATAACACCAAAGCCAAGGGTTCGGATCCCACATAGGGATGGCCGGTTGGCTCACTGCGTGAGCATGGTGCTAACAACACCAAGTCAAGGGTTAAGATCCCCTTACCGGTCATCTTTAAAAAAAAAAAAAAGAAAGAAAATTACTTTTGGCTAATTTAGGAGAAAGATATTGGGGGCTCACAAAATCAACAGGAAACTGGAAGATCAGGCTCACAGATTCAGTGGGTAGGAACCAGGGCAGCTCTGCAGGCTATTGCAAAGGCCTCACAATGGCTCTGATGAACATTCTTCATTCCCTCATGAGTGAGCAGCCAGGAAGAATTTTCTTGACTGGCCCAGCATAGGTCGCAGGCCCATTTCCCAGCTGTATTGGCTCAGAACTGAAAGGATCTATCCCCTTCAGATTCCATGGTGGAAGGCAGGCACCTAGATTTGCCTGCTCATTAAAAACTGCATTCAATGGAGGAGATGTAATTCCTGAAAGGTAATCAAAGATCACTTAGAAAAAAGACCTAGATTCAGGACAAGCCCCAGATGACAGATTTGACGGATGCCACCAGTTCACCTCTTGGGCTGTTCAGCATCCACAACTACCCTCTGGAACTACTGGGAGGCAAGTTCGTGAAAGAAGACTGATAGATTGTGGCACATATGTGGAGAGGTCACAATTGGGTCTCTGGGAAGAACATTTCTAAATCTCTGGAGTTTTTCATAGTACAAAGACCCCCCTGGCTTCTATTTCCTTTCTTCTCCTTTCTTCCTTGTTTTCTCAGCATTGCTTCCCAATAAGACTAATCACAAAGGAACTCAAGCATCTAGGAATAGGCTAAATCAGAGCCTTTCTATGTGTGGATACCAGGAGGAGTTGAAGAGGTAAAAGGATGGAGCAAATGTCAGGCTCAATGTGAAGCCACAGGCTCTGAAAATACAGGGAGCTGCTCCAGGTTCCAAGCTGGGAATGTAGAGAAACACTACGGTTGGTCTGAGACATTTTACTGAGCAGGATTTGGTTACAATTAAAAAAATTATTTACTATTTCATATCTGCAAAAGAGTATATGTAACATCCTTCTGATATTAAGATGGATACACCAGTTTTTTGTGGTGGTTGTCAGTGTTTGCCTCGTATGTCTTTTTCTAGTCTTTTCCTGTTAGCCTTACTTTCTTCATCTGTAAGCATGGCAAACAAATCCAATCTCTTAGAGCCATTGTGAATATTTGTGTCCACTTGTGCCAGCCCTAGGGATTTACAGGGGAGCAAAACCAGACATGGAGCATAGAACTTAAGTCTGTTGGGTGACAGACACAAATAAAAGAAGAATAAAAGAATGACACAAATAGATGTTAATGTGATGGATAAAAATCATTAATGTGAGATGGTCTCTCCACCAACAGAATCCAGCTCAGTTCCCTGTTCCCCTCTTACCTTTCAGGCAAAGATAAACAGAGCCAGACATTAGCTAAAGTGGTGAAAATAGATTTTATTCAGTAACTACTGACAGCAGGGGAAAGAGCTAAACTCCATTCTAATTTGGGCAGAGGTGATTTGGGAGTTTTAAAAGGAGAATGGGGGAGGGCGTAGAACACAGGTGAATGTCCAAGCAGTCAGAAGCATGAAAAATTAGAAAGGGTTGGTCAGTATCAGTGTGATTAGGCTAGCGATGTCTGTTAGCTTGCAGTTATCGAAGTCAGGATTCTATCCTCCCACAGAGACTGAGAGATTGAGGCCCTATCATTCCTGATGATTATACTATTTCAAAGAAATAGCTTTCAAATCCTTGAGAAGACACTTCTGAGTTGTAGGAGATAAATATACAACTCAAAGGGACAGAGGGAGGATTTATAATTATAAGCCCTTTTAGTAAATGCTCTAAGAAAGGGAGGCCAGGAGCCTATCATCAGGTATTGGCTAGAACAAACAGTAAATTCTTCTGGCAACATTAAGCTTTCTCAGGCAGGCAATTTAATGTAGGGGTGGCGGGGGGGGGGCTAAGGTCATCCTAGGGACAAGCTTTATGCTTCTAGAAGCCATGCTAGGATTTGGCCATCTCTTAGTGCAGAGGTTTGTATGGAGTCCTCGTGTGCTGAGGGTTCTGCAATTCTCAAGGCCCTTCTATATCCCTTTTACCATCTTCCCTCAGCCCCATGTGGCTCCTTACTGTGTGGAAGGAAGTCAGGCAGAGTAGTGTTTCTACCACCCCCAGAACCTCCTCTCTTCATGTGTAGCCCAATCCCTAGCATAAGCTTCTGCCGTGGGCAGGCTTGGTTTTCCCACATTTTGGAGGTTCTGGCTGTAAGGCCCCATAGAAGACCCCAAAGGAGGCACTCCCTAAAACATGGTGCTTTTCTCTTCTGGGTCCTACCAATCTCGCTGGCGCCAAGGTGAAATCATTACCCGCCCCCGGCCAATCAACTACCGCCCCGTGTACTAACCACCCTCTCCCGGAACCCGGCTCTATATAAATGTATGCTTCTCCCCCGAATAAAGCGGAACTTCTCCCGTGAACGGTCAGCCCGGGTCCTGTCATCCTTTCATTGGTGCCGAAACCCAGGAGGAGCTCACCCCTTAC